ACTGAACGAACCCGAACTGCTGATGAACAGCAGTCGATCTGCGCACGCAAGGAGGTGCTATTCCTATTCTTCTTCTGGAAAAACGAAAGAGAGCTACAAAACAGACTGCAGCGCCATCTGAAGCAAAGAGCATACTTCCTGCGGACACTTTTTTGGCTGAGTGGCCCATCTTGTTATTTACTATCTTTGCTATCATTAATCATTATCATTAAGCCCACGTGGGACGCTCAATGTTAAAAACAATCAGGAAACGACACATGCAGTTTTTGGGACACCTGAATAGACATAAAGGTCTTGAACATCTAGCTCTCAATGTCAAAACTGAAAGCAAATGAGGCAGGGGTAGGCCCAGATCAACCTACTTAGAGAACCTAAACTACTAAACAAATGGGCGACAGGGAAAGATCAGGGAAACGTAGCTTTATTTTGAGAGCATACAAGCAAAGGAACGAATGGAGGACCATGATCGCCGATGTCTGTCGCAGATCTGGCTCTGGATGATGATGATCCTTACTCTCGTCATTTTCCTCTACTTCTTTTGTACGTTTGTCACTCTCTAGTGAACTGCTATTTTCGGGGTGCCTTATCTAATGTAGATCTTGCGTACTGCCTTTTCATCACAGATTTTCAGTTCTTACCTTAAAATGTTCTAGAATGTTTGACCTAGAACAAACCCAGGTTTCAGTTTGTTATGACTCAAACTTGTGCAGGCTTTGTCTTCTTTCCCACGATTAGTTCGGCTTCGTTCTTGTGCAAAGTTGGAATCTGTGGCCTACTTGTAATTTGGGAGAGCAATAAAAATTAATTTTTGTGCTTGCTTAACACGACGGAACGGAAGAACGAAAACTAGATCTAGTGCGTGCGCGGCGAAACCCCGCAATTTTGGGGGATTCCCGCGGGTTTTTTAAATTTGAATTTAATGAATCAAATGTTTGTTGAATTTGCATTACTGCAGTATTAGAGTTACCATGTCCATTATTGATAATGAAAATGTTTCTCTGCCCCCCTTTTTTTCGCCCATGTCATTCATTTCCTTTCTATGTTTTCACTCTTCAGTCAAAACTATTCATCCTTTCACTCTTCAATCCTTTTTTCGGGGGCGGAGGAGAGGGGTTGTTTTACAAATTCTTTAATTAAAGGGAGAAAATGCACACACGAACACACACACAAACACACACATACAGAGAGAGAGAGAGAGAGAGAGGGGGAGAGGGGGAGAGAGACACAGAGAGAGAGAGAGAGAAAGAGAGAGAGAGAGAGAAAGAGAGTGCCCCAAAGATCCTACTTTTTATTGTAATGGGAACCGTAATTGTTAAAGTCTCTTTGAAAGTCGGGATTAATGCTTTCAATGTTTAATCAGTTCCAAATCGATCATGTCCGTGTTTTTAGTCACATATGGACAGACAGTCAACGTTTCGCTTTTCACTATGAGTAGACTACACATCAATCAGATGATTGTGGATCGTTCACTTGACAGAACCATTGAGGCTTTGTCTCTCGTCGGAGGCGAACTGTGGGTGGTAGAAGGGCGCCACTAGATCTTGCAGTGGCGGGGCGTAGTGAAAGGCTTAAGGGTTTGAGCCCCACCCAGTGAAGGGCTAAAGGGCTTGAACCCCACCCACCGCCACCCAACCCCCACCCAACCCCCAACTCTTTTCCAACGTAGCTGGATATTTGTTTTGAACTAAGGAAATTATCAGTTGAAGCAATAATTAACACCTTTTCAGACTCTAGTTGTATGCAGAGAACGAACACACACAAGACTTGTTCTTGTTCGTTTGTCCAATCACTGTTTTCACCACTTACAACGATTGTAACCAAAATTAAATTTCTTATTAAGGGATCGGCAGAGGGTGAGCCCATTCCCACGGACCTGTGCATGTGCGTGGGAGTGTGGCTATTTGACATACATACACACTGTCATACACACGTGCACACATACACAAACATACACACTCTCACAGATATCTAGAGTTGCCTCTGAACCGTGAAAATCTTACCTTATTTCTGAACTCCAACCACATTTTACTCCACCCACCGCCACTAATAACTAGTAAATCCTACTTCTTCCTTTTCCCACTGTCTGTCTGTATGTCTGTCTTACTTTTTCCAAGCACTATATCAGTGACGAGTATTGTGTCGATGTGCAAACGAAGGTGGTTGGAGGGCGCCGCTAGTAAATCTTACTTCTTTACTTACTTCTGGTGTTTCTGTTTGACTTACTTTTTCCCTGTTCATGTATTAAATTACCATTGATGTGCCGATGTGCTTCTGTTTACTCAAAGCCAAACTCAAACTCACGGAGGAACAGTGGGTGGCTGGTGAGTGTTCTGGTTTGGACTTTCATTCTTACCAAAAACCAATGACGAACTACTATTTTACTTACATACTTTACTTAATCCTTCCTCTTGTCGAGGGAAGAAAGAGCTTTTTGTCTTAAGCAAGTTTGAAGGCCTGGATGGGTGGAATGTTGTAGCTTACGTTTTCAGAGCATCCTTCACACCCACGATCTAAATCGACCCAGTGTATGACGAACTAAAGGGACAGCTATTTAAAGACGCGGAAGAAATTGTGCTCAAAACAATAAATGGATACTGCCCTCAGGACTTTGGCCGAAGTGGACTTGGCCACTGCGTTTGACCACTGGCTTCATCGGGTAGAAAAGTGCATTGAGATCAGCGGTTGATAAGTTGAATAGAAAACGTCATATTTCTGTAGGTATATACAGGATTTTATATCTGTAAAAGAAATGTTGATTTTTAAGGACAGGGAAACATATTTCTGGGACAGACATCGCAACTAGTTCCGATGGATAAAGTGATAAGAGAAAAGATAAGAAGTAGGACCTACACGTGGCACTCTGCAACCATTCGAAATAAACAAGATATCGGCTCTGAAAATAAAAAGAAATTTGATATCATACAGCTGATGAATCAAACCGACAAAATCCGTTGAAAAGCTATCACTTTTTGGGGGGATAAAGTGTCTTATCACAAATCACTTCTTTGTTGTATCGGATACGTGTAACTTTCAGTACATTTGGGCTGGTGCATAAAATAAAGTACAAGCGACATGGGGG